CGCGGGGCGGCAGCGGAGATTTCCTCTCGGGGAAACTACGCGGATCCTTCCCGGGGCTCCTCGCCCCGCCCCACTTCTCCGCCCCCTCCCCTTTGCTGGGGAGCCGGTACCGGCCTGCGCCGGGAAGAGGCTCTGGCAGCCTGAGCGGGAGGTGGCGGGGGGCCACGGAGCCGCTGGCCACTGACTCGCTTCGCCATGTGACGCTGCCCTCCGCCCAGGGACCCCCATCGAGCCCCCGGCCCGCGCCCGCGCTGGATCGCGCCGGGCACCATGCTTCTGCCGGGCCATGCGCGCCCGCCGCCCGCGCCGCAGCCCGCGCAGCATCCTGGACTCCGCAGGCAGGTAGAGCCTCCCGGGCAGCTCCTGCGCCTCTTCTACTGCACTGTCCTGGTCTGTTCCAAAGAGATCTCAGCGCTCACGGACTTCTCTGGTAAGAAGCGCCCTCCCTCGTCCTGCGCCCCCGGCGCCGCGCTGCGGTGCGCTCAGGTGATACCTCGGCTGGGGGCAGCCTCCCGAGGGAGCACAGACGGGGTGGATTGAAGTTGAGGCACGCTCATAGCCAGTTTTCTTGCCTGGTGTGAGCCCTTGGCAGAGGTGGCTCCGTGTGGAGCGATGGCAGAGGAGTCCCTCCCCTCCCCGAGGAAGGATGGGTAACATTTCGAGTTTCTCGCCCCGGTGTTTATCTCGTCAAATTCCCTGCATCGGGTCCCAGCATCAAGTTCCCGCCTCTGAAGGATGTGTGTCCCCTGGAGGCCCCTTAAGCTGTGCCCTGTGCCGCACCCAGCGCTGTAAAATACACGTGTTGTGATCGGAGGAGTTTCACTTGGTTTGCCACTGGCAAACCCGGGTAGCCCGGGTGCGCCCCAGCCGGCCTCCAGGGTGCCCATGTAAGGACACTAGTCCTGGAGACATCTGACCTGAAGTCTGCGCCTGCAGGCAGGGATGGGAAGCCAGCCGGGCGGGAGGTCTGTGTGCCGGGTGAGGAGAAATGTACAGAACGGAGACTCTGGGTCTTTACTGCCAGATGGTACCTGCCCTCCACCCTCCAGTCCCAGGCTTCTTAACAAAAATGCTTTTCTCCTCCCAGTAAACGGTGAGGCTTTTCTTCTGGGAGACTCAGACCAAAGCTCCCACAGCTTATCTCAGTTCTGGGGCTGTAGGTGTGGCACCACAAAGTGAGAGAAGTTTCTGTGTTGATGATGGTTGTAGGAGCCACATTCTTATGTTACCGCTGCACTTGCTTAGAGTAACAAAGTCCTTACAGTTGTAACAGACCTGGGTCTCCCTCTGGTGAGGCTGGATGCCTTCACCCTTTCCCAGCCCCTGCCCACCCCAGGAGGCAGCTCTGAACCCCACTCCCCCCCCCCCCCTTCTCCAGGGATCTTCTGCCAAGTTTAGGCTTTTGCCTGCAGGGACTTTTGCAATCCAATCGTGGTAAACGGAGTCACTGCTCACCCTGTCCTGCAGTAGACTAATACACAGCAGAGAACACTGGCAAACCAGAAGCTGAGTTGGGTTTCTAGTTTACTTACAGAGAATGTCATTGTTAGCTGAGAGCCCTTGGGTCAGAGGTTCTTTGCTTTGAATATTTAATATCAAGGCAGTGTTTCTACCTAGCGAAGGAAGCCAAGATATGCCTATTTGGCAAGCAAACCGTGGTCCTTAAAATCGAGCACCACAGGGTCAGAATGCTGTGGTAAATGTGCGAGGGAAATGCTTTTCAAGTGCTATTGACTTTTTTTTTTTTTTTTTTTTTTTTTTTTTTTTTGGTGGTGGTAATAGAACTTTCTTGGCTGCTAAAAAAGTTTTATATTTGCTGATTTCAGCTATGGAGAGCAATTCTGATTCAGCCACCCTGTAGCTCTGACTAGTAAGGAAAGAATTGAAAGCTGACAAGCCCTTTTTGCGTGTGTGACATCATTGCAACTGAAAAAATAGCGCTTTAGGTAAATCGCGGTGTGACCATTATATTGTTTTCACAGATTATAGACACTCTGTCTTTAGTGAAGCAGTTGCAATACTCCCAGCAGCCTGCAGGTTATCACCCACATTAGGAATTGTCTGTATTCTGTATATTACATTGTACGTTATAGTGCTTTGGCTGTCACAGAGGGACTATATCCCGAGGGAAATGGATATTTTGATACATGTTCTTCTAAATGATACAAATGATGGAAAATATTTCCTTCTGCTTTCGGTGTGAACTTGAATTCCAGGGTTGAAAACTCGTTGAGTCCGCAGTAGGTGGTGATAATGCCAGGTCCATCCACAAGTAGCCCCCATTCTTTCCTCTAATCACCTTTGCTCACCAGAGACCTGAGGATTAGGGAGACAGTGTCAAGGGGGGGGGGTGCCTGGGTGGCTCAGTCAGTTAAGCGTCCAACGTCAGCTCAGGTCATTCATGATCTCATGGTCCGTGAGTTCGAGCCCCACATCGGGCTCTGTGCTGACGGCTCAGAGCTTGGAGCCTGCTTCGGATTCTGTGTCTCCCTCTCTCTCTGCCCTTCCCCCCACTTTCTCTCAAAAGTAAATACACATTAAAAAAAATTTTTTTAAGGGTCAAGGGAACCTTTTTGGGAGAAGAAAAGAAAAAACGCCGTCTTCTCAAAGCACAGACACATTCAGGTTTAAATCTAAACGCTGTATGTGCGGCACTGGGGAAACGTTAGAGAAGGCTCAGGGGTCTTTCAAAGTTGATCAATTTGACTTGAAACTTTTAGGGACCGCCTAACTGTGTGATACACAGCATTGAGGACAATTCCCCAGCTCTAAAGATGGGTCTGAGGGTTCAGTTGAAGGCTTTAGTCAAAGCTGTGGAGACTGATCACTTAATTCCAAAACCCCTGGGAGGGGGGGGGCAAACCGGATGCCTGCTTTCCTGGGGACAGGTGGTCTTGTTCTTTTTTGTGCACTTCGAGGGGGTGTTTAGAAACCAGAGGCCTGTAAGGAGACAGTCCCCACCCCTACCCCGTCCCCCACGGAGCCTTACAACAATAGCCCAGCCCTAGAGAGCAGCAATCCACAATGCAGATACTTGCTTGTTTTTCTAAACGAGGGAAACATCAAAAACTGAAGCTGAGGGAGGGTGGAGGGAACTTGGGAGCCCTCCGCCCTGGGAAGAAGGGGATGGAGAAAGGATGGTGTTTCCACATGAAAGAAAGTACCAGAATATCAGGGGTCCCAGCCATTGTGTGTACAGTATAGGGCCTCCCAGGAGATTAACAGTGCAGAGTTTTGGAAAGTTACTTAAGCCTTTCTCTTCTTTGCAACTCTTCCTTCAGCCTTTTCCTGAGGCTGTCAGCTGGTGTAGTTTTCCTGGGTCATTGGGTTTTTTTTTTTTTGCCCTGAGGATTCCAGCATCGGATCTCACTCTTAATAAGCCAGGGGCTGTGTCCTGGCCGCCTCCTCCCCCTGCTTGCTCGTGACTTGTGCTAATCACCTCCAAGCCTGCTGGGAAACAGCCTCCCCACACAGCCCCTTCGCGCTCATCCCCGAAGATGTTGAGATGCTGCCAGTGGCCACTGGAAGGCTATCATCACTGCACGAAAAACATATCCCAGGAAGACAAGAGCAGTTCATGCAAAATTAGTGCCTGTGATCCTTAATCCCACCCCTAGATGCACTCAGTTTTCCTTTTTCCTCCTTGGGATGGAGTTCTGTTTTTATTGATTGATTGATTGATTGATTGATTGATTTTGTTGGTTTGTTTGTTTTTTTCTTTGTTGTTGTTGTTGTTGTTTTGACTGCATTCCCAAATTGGGGGTTTAGCCTGAGCGGTCCAAACTGATCATTGATTTTTTTTTTTTTTTTCAAATAGAAGTATAATGCCAACATCATCTTTGTTCAGAGAACAAGGTAGGGGTGAGGGCTGAGAGGAGGGGGGGGTGCCATTTTGGGTTCCAGCCATCAAAAGGAAAGGATCCTCTGTATATTGTACTGCTTTAAAGAGTTCCAGAGTGTCTCTCAAACTTATTTTGCCCTCGGGTCCTGTTCATTTTTTTGGTGATTTTTCTCTCCATTCAAAGTGATTGATGGGCTTATTGAGAGGGAGGTGGAGGAAGGGGGGCAGGGAGGGAAGGGGTGGAAAATTGTTCTAGTTCCCACTTGGCGTCCTAGAAAAAGGTTGTGAGCATGTGTTCGCACATTTGGTTTTACCCCAGGGCATATAGTGATGACTGTGGGAAGCAGAAGGGGAGGAAGATGAAACCCAAGGGGAGTGGGGGCAGCCTTTAAAGGCCTTCCTGGCACCAAATTGTCCCCAGGCCTCAAAGATGGAAGGGCTTCTCTGGGCAGATGTCCTGCTCCCTGCCCAAGCAAACAGGAAGTGATGCGCATTAACCACATCATTTGCAGCTTAGCAAATAAACCCAACCCTAGCTCCTGGTTTCACTGGCCAGGAATTTCAGAATATTGAAAAATGGTCATTCGATCGATCTTGAAGTCTCGGGTCCTGATGGAGGGAACACAGGTGTCCATTTAGGGGAGGCCGAACCTTCCCGTTCTGCTCAGGTAAGCAGTGGGTCTCAACCCTGGCTGTGCTTTAGAATCGCTGGACGCGGAACAATGTGTGGGTGCTCAAGCAGCACTCCCCGACTTCTCGTGTAACTGGTGTGGGGAGAGCCAGGCCTGGGTCTCATTTTTGAAAGCCCCCCAGGCAATTCTAGTACAGCCAGAGTTGAGAACCACTGCTCGGGGTGATCAGAGGGCTGGACTATCTCCTGTGTGCATCAGCTTGTTTGGGGGCACACGGGCACGACTGGCTGCCCCTTCACCCCACCCCCCACCCCCGGTCAGGGTCAGGGCTCCCCACCAGGGAGACCAGGACTATATTTTCCCAGCTACCAGTTTGTCCCTGCATGCCAGCACACGCACACAAAGTTCTACATTTTCTATTCCCTTCTTTCCTAACGTTTATCCATTTATTTTGTGAGCGGGAGAGCACGCAAAGACGTGAGGGGCAGAGAGAGAGAGAGAATCCCAAGCGGGCTCCACGCTGTCACCGCGGAGCCCGATCCGGGGCTCAAACTCATGAACGGTGAGCTCGTGACCTGAGCGGAGATCAAGAGTCGGACACCTCACCGACTGAGCCACCCGGGCGCCCCAGAGTTCTGCATTTTCTGACGCCCTAGTCACACAGCCCTTTTATTCGGGGGTTGTCTTCCCTTTCAGAAATTTTATGGGATGAAAAGCCAGCTCATAACCAAAGAAAAACAAACCAAACGTCTGAAGGATTGTGCAGCTGTCACAGAAGAGGAGAGATGAAGAGAAGCTCTGAGACTGCTAGTCTGTTTCCATGGAAAGTAACTACATTTGAAAAGTGTTCTGCTGGCTCTTTCTGCGGCAGAGAAGAGGAGTCGGGGCCAGCGAGTGACTCCATTATTAATGGCTTTGCTCTCCCAGGCACTTTATTGGAAAGGGCAGCCTAGCAGC